CACACAAGATGGCACAGGTCACACAAAGACACATAAGATGCCACAGGACACACAAAGACACATAAGATGACACAAGAAACACAAGATCAAACAAGACACACAAAGACAGTCTCAGAAACCTTGAGAAAGATGGTCTGTGCCAAGCTGGCAGTTCCCTGTTCAACAAGCTGCGACTGCTGTAGATGCAGGTCTGGTGTCATCAGTGATAAGTTGACACAGTCCGTGTCCTGGTGGCTCAACAGTGAGCTGGGCTCCAACTCCTCTGACCTGGTCACAGAGACACCAGATGACAGGAAAGACGTCGCCTCTGACCTCTGTACCACTGCCTCAGAATCTTTCTGCTGAAGGTCTGTTGCTGGGACAACTGTGGCAGAGTTCTCGGATGAGCTGACAGGTTGCGGCTCAGGCGGGGCCTGACCAGAACCTCTGTGGTGCAGTTCCTGGATCCCAGGGGTAGATCTGACCTGTGTTTCTGCCTGCCAGCTGGCAGAAGTATCAGCAACAACAGTTCCATCCTCAGAGGCACCCGCTTGTGGAGCAGTCGCATCTTCAATGACTTCACCAGTGACTGGTGACCCCATGTCAGTGGTACAAGATGACTGAAAGACAAGATCATCATCATTAAAATATCTGTGGAACTAGGAAATGACTAAAAGATGTCATGCTGTTGGTAGACAAGTCTGTCGGTGAAATCATGTCATGCTGTTGGTAGACAAGTCTGTCGGTGAAATCATGTCATGCTGTCAGTAGACAAGTCTGTCAGTGAAATCATGTCATGCTGTCAGTAGACAAGTCTGTCAGTGAAATCATGTCAGTGACAACCGCCAGCAGACACACTCATGAGGTACAGATGAATGTAAACATGAGGCACAGATGAATGTAAACATGAGGCACAGATGAATGTAAACATGAGGCACAGATGAATGTAAACATGAGGCACAGATGAATGTAAACATGAGGCACAGATGAATGTAAACATGAGGCACAGATGAATGTAAACATGAGGCACAGATGAATGTAAACATGAGGCACAGATAAATGTAAACTGTAGCAGATCAGACAAGGTTTATGAACATTCAGCCCTCATATCTCTGTCTCTGTTCACAAAACATTGTGCCATGACTGGCGCACGCACGCACATACACACTCAAACAGACACACATATTTACTCTCTCTCTGAAATAAGTAAGATGTGTCTTCACACACAGAAAATGACACTAACTGTAGTATAAGAAAGAAACTAAAAGATATCCCTATATTAAATGTAATATGAGGAAGAAACTATAAAATGTCCCCACATTTAGTGTAGTATAAGAAAACGAATGATGCAGAAGCTGAATGTGAAGTGAAAATGTGGTTTAGAAAATAGTGCATGCAGTTCTACGCAGCAGGTTTGGGAGGACTGATAAAATGACCAGAGAAGTGCATAAATGTTGGTGGAAATTATGTTGAAAAATAAAGGAACAGTGTATGTGTAGAAATAAATGGTTTTCAAGTTGTTATTGTCTTTAGCGTTTTTTTAACAATCATTTGTGACTTACTTATTGCCTCCCCCTCGTATAAGAAAGAAACCATTGGTACACTCTTTATGATAGTGACACTGGGTCAACTTACTGTTATCAGGAGACTTGGCTAATCAGCTTTAATATGCAATGTCTACAAATGGTACTTGGCATCAGGTGGCGAGACAAGTTCACTAACACAGAGGTATCAGAATGAACAGGTGTCATAACAGCTGTCTCAATGATCTTTAAAGGGCAGGACATGCTCAGAAAACTGAGACTGACAAGAGTTCCCAAAGAAATGATGTCTGGTGACTGAGAGTTAGAGCACTGGCTATCAGTACCTTGAGATAATAGTTGTGAAACCTGGACCTCAGCACCTGACCCTGACCAGAACAATACAAGAACTGGAAATGAGTTCTCGTCAAAGGATCCGAGAACTGGAAATGAGATCTTGTCAAAGGATCCGAGAACTGGCTAAGTGTAGCAGAAAACACATCAGTCAGTGGTGGCAACATGGTGTGTATCATGCTGCATGAAGTGGGAAGACAAATGAGACAATGACTCAGACAGATGAAGAGCTAAGTGTTACTAAAACACATAAGTCGGTGGTGGCAACATGGGGTGCAATACTGGTGCCTGTCGACTGGGTGAAATATCAGACCAGATCTGAAGATACTTGACTGCTCATAGCAACACGGAAAGACGCCAACACAATGTTACAGTTACATTTCACTCAAAAATGCAGAGCTGTTCTGGGAGATGATGTGGAGACAGATTCTGCAGAAATACTGAGTAATAAAGTCAACAAGTCAAAGCAAACTGCACAACAATAATGCATTAACAGATCAACAAGGTGTGTTTCTCCAACCACTGTGGATGACTCTACGACCTCTGACCTACCTTTCTGTTTTCCCTCAGTACTGGTGGTCTGGCAGGGCAAGTTGAATACAGCATATGTGAAAAAGCCATGATGTGAAGGAACTTGCTCCAGTCCACAAGGACACAATGATCAGGCATGTTGTAGACTGCAAGCTCCCAGGGTCTGTTCTCTGCATCCTCGCCTAGCTTGATGACTACTGGGGTTTCGATGGTCACCGTTGGCAACTGTTCTGTGTCTGCCAGTTTTGTAACTATAGGAACCTCTTCTGGTTCACTAGGGCCTGCAACAGGAACATTAGTGTCAAGAATGGGCGTGGGTGGGTGTGTGTGCATGTCCCAGTGCATGCATGTGAATGAGTATGTGAACCTAGGGTATGTTTCTCACCCTGTTGCTTTATAATAGCAGCAAGCTTTCAGTAATGGGATGTGAATTCACGGACTGTCTGTGCTGGCAGGCAGTAATGGGATAAGAATTCATGGAGGGTGGGTGCTGCTGTCAGTAGTGAGATAAGATTTCATGGACGAAGGCTGCTGCTGTCAGTAATGAGATAAGATTTCATGGACGGTGGGTGCTGCTGTCAGTAGTAAGATAAGAATTCATGGACAATGGGTGCTGCTGTCAGTAATGAGACAAGATTACATGGACGGTGGGTGCTGCTGTCAGTAGTGAGATAAGATTTCATGGACGAAGGCTGCTGCTGTCAGTAATGAGATAATATTTCATGGACGGTGGGTGCTGCTGTCAGTAGTGAGATAAGAATTCATGGACGGTGAGTGCTGCTGTCAGTAGTGAGATAAGATTTCATGGGCGGTGGGTGCTGCTGTCAGTAGTGAGATAAGAATTCATGGACGGTGAGTGCTGCTGTCAGTAATGAGATAAGATTTCATGGGCGGTGGGTGCTGCTGTCAGTAATGAGATAAGATTTCATGGGCGGTGAGTTCTGCTGTCAGTAGTGAGATAAGATTTCATGGACAGTGGGTGCTGCTGTCAGTAATGAGATAAGATTTCATGGACGAAGGCTGCTGCTGTCAGTAATGAGATAAGATTTCATGGACGGTGGGTGCTGCTGTCAGTAGTGAGATAAGAATTCATGGATGGTGAGTGCTGCTGTCAGTAATGAGATAAGATTTCATGGGCGGTGGGTGCTGCTGTCAGTAATGAGATAAGATTTCATGGGCGGTGAGTGCTGCTGTCAGTAATGAGATAAGATTTCATTGGCGGTGAGTGCTGCTGTGAGCAATGAGGTAAGATTTCATGGGCGGTGGGTGCTGCTTTCAGTAGTGAGATAAGATTTCATGGGCGGTGAGTTCTGCTGTCAGTAGTAAGAAAAGATTTCATGGACGGTGGGTGCTGCTGTCAGTAGTGAGATACGATTTCATGGACAGTGGGTGCTGCTGTCAGTAGTGAGATAAGAATTCATGGACGGTGAGTGCTGCTGTCAGTAATGAGATAAGATTTCATGGGCGGTGGGTGCTGCTGTCAGTAATGAGATAAGATTTCATGGGGGAAGGCTGCTGCTGTCAGTAATGAGATAAGATTTAATGGACGGTGGGTGCTGCTGTCAGTAGTGAGATAAGAATTCATGGACGGTGAGTGCTGCTGTCAGTAATGAGATAAGATTTCATGGGCGGTGGGTGCTGCTGTCAGTAATGAGATAAGATTTCATGGGCGGTGAGTGCTGCTGTCAGTAATGAGATAAGATTTCATTGGCGGTGAGTGCTGCTGTCAGTAATGAGGTAAGATTTCATGGGCGGTGGGTGCTGCTGTCAGTAGTGAGATAAGATTTCATGGGCGGTGAGTTCTGCTGTCAGTAGTAAGAAAAGATTTCATGGACGGTGGGTGCTGCTGTCAGTAGTGAGATACGATTTCATGGACAGTGGGTGCTGCTGTCAGTTCTTGGGATATAAATGCATGGACGGTGAGTGCTGCTGTCAGTAGTGAGATAAGAATTCATGGACGGTGGATGCTGCTGTCAGTAATGAGATAAGATTTCATGGGCGGTGGGTGCTGCTGTCAGTAATGAGATAAGATTTCATAGGTGGTGAGTGCTGCTGTCAGTAATGAGATAAGATTTCATAGGTGGTGAGTGCTGCTGTCAGTAGTGACATAAGATTTCATGGATGGTGAGTGCTGCTGTCAGTGATAGCATATGAATTCATGGACTGTGAATGCTGCTGTAAGAAATGGGATATGAATTCATGGATTGTGCATGCTGTTGTCAGTTAATGGAATATGAACTCATGGATTGTGCCTGCTGTTAGTAATGGGATATAATTTCGTGGACTATCTGTGCCTGTTGTCAGTAATGGGATATAATTTTGTGGACTATCTGTGCCTGCTGTTAGTAATGGGATATAATTTCGTGGACTATCTGTGCCTGCTGTTAGTAATGGGATATAATTTTGTGGACTATCTGTGCCTGCTGTCAGTAATGGGATATAATTTCGTGGACTATCTGTGCCGGCTGTCAGTAATGGGATATAATTTCGTGGACTATCTGTGCCTGCTGTTAGTAATGGGATATAATTTTGTGGACTATCTGTGCCTGTTGTCAGTAATGAGATAAGAACTCATGGATTGTGGGTGCTGATGTCAGTAATTTGATGACAACAACAATGGCTAGCAGGGCGATAGGACGGGCTACAGTTCGGGCGGTCACCTCCAAACGTCTGACGCCACAGAAAGCTCCCCTAACTTTGACAACTAACGCTGTTAAAAAACTCAAACAGCTGATGGCGGACAGGCCAGACATGCATGGAGTGTTGATTGGGGTGAAAACACGAGGATGTAATGGCCTGACCTACACACTAGACTACGCCGATAAGAAAGGCAAATTTGATGGGGAAGTAGTTCAAGATGGTGTGAAGGTTTTTATTGATGCTAAAGCCCAGCTGACTTTGCTTGGAACAGAAATGGATTACCATGAAGACAAACTGACGTCTGAGTTCATCTTCAATAACCCAAACATCAAAGGCACATGTGGATGTGGTGAAAGCTTCAATGTATAACTGTGATCCGTGATTATTCTAGATAGCATCATGTTGTATATATTTTTTTACTGTCAGTTTATTGCCAATATTTTCTGCATAATAACCCAGTATTGCACAAGTCTGTAAACAGACAGATGAACTGAGTTATGTTTGCCATACTTGTAGTGCAGTGCGTCCAATGTTGACATGCATTGGTCTGTTAGCCTTTAGCTGTTTCAAATCTACAAGGCAGCAAGGCTATCTCCCTTTGTGTCTGGTTTCTGTTCATTGACCTGTGGAAAAACCTACCAGTAGTTTAGTCATTGTTGGCCTATAGCCAGTCTGCTGTATGCAGTAGGTCTATTCTTTATTCTTGTTTTCCCATAATGGAGGCCCAGAATCCACACAGGGAAATTAGATAAGTTAAAATCCCCATGTGGGTTGCGACGCCCTTTTATAGGGATAACAAGAATAGACCCACTGCCTATCCAAAAGCATGTTGTAAGAATCGACTAATTGGGAGCTTTCTATGAAGCCGGAGTGCATCTGCCTGAGAGGCAATGTACCAGCTGTCTGCATTTAAAAGTCAGATTGTAAAACGTATACACACGCAACACTCGGGTTCTGGAACAAGACTGCAGTCCAGAAGTGGACGAACAACCAGAACTTTCCGCTGAAGTTTACAGCTGGTGAATGAGAAGAAGATGATAAGTTTAAAAATTTTTTTATTAATAAGAAAGATAATCTCCTTTATGTGTTTAAACTGTTTAAATTTGTCAATATGATATGTTATTGGCATTGACTCATCTTGTAGTCTAAATTATACATTTGAATATACATATTATTATAGAAGATGTCTTATTTAGTAAATAGGTAGGAATTGAAAACTAATGCTGGTCAGAACTGAACTTTATAAATGCCCAGTCCCCCGTGTGGGTTCCGGGGCCCCATTGTGGGAAAACAAGAATAGACCCACTGCCACCCCAAAAGCATGTCGTAAGAGTCAACTAATTGGGGAGCTTCCTTTGAAGTCAGAGTGCATCTGCCGGAGAGGCAAGGAACCAACAGTCTGTATTCAAGAGAATGAGATCTGTAAAACTGATGCACACGCAACACTCAGGTTCTCTAGCAGGACTGCAGTTCAGTAGTGGACGAGCAACCAGAACCTGCCGCCAGAGTTTACAGCTGGTGAACGCGAAGAAGAAAGAAGAAGAAGAAGTAATTTGATATGATAAGAGATGACAGAATGACAAGACAAATGAACAACTGACCTGGGGGAGAAGAGACGAAACAATGACACCACATGACAAATAAACAGCTTACCTGGTGGAGAAGAGATGAAACAATGACACTAAATGACAAATGAACAACTGACCTGGTGGAGAAGAGACAAAACAATGACACCACATGACAAATAAACAGCTGACCTGGTGGAAAAGAGATGAAACAATGACACCAAATGACAAATTAACAACTGACCTGGTGGAGGAGAGATGATCCCAGCTTCAGGTATGTGAACTGTTGGCATCTCAGCGTAGGATGGGAGACCTCTGGTTTTGAGACAATAAAACAGTTATGACAATGCCACAATAACACGACTAACTATCAAACACTTATAAGTGCCTACATATGTAGGCATGCACACAGGTATGCAATCATACAGGCAGGCACACAGGTATGCAAGCACATACACAAACATACACATGGAATGGGTATAACTGTGGTAAACTTTGGAACAGTAAACAAATGGAGAACCTGAGTATAGGTCAGTTTTACCAAGTATATTATTACACACACAAAGATTTAACACACACACAAAGATTTAACACACACACAAAGATTTAACACACACAAAGATTTAACACACAGAAAGATTTAACACACACAAAGATTTAACACACACAAAGATTTAACACACACAAAGATTTAACACACACACAAAGATTTAATACACACACAAAGATTTAACACACACACAAAGATTTAACACACACAAAGATTTAACACACACACAAAGATTTAACACACACAAGGATTTAACACACACACAAAGATTTAACACACACAAAGATTTAACACACACACAAAGATTTAACACACACACAAAGATTTAATACACACAAAGATTTAACACTTGTAGAGATGTCAGCTCAACTCAAAGAATGCCTTCAGTCATTGTGACTAGTCGATGATCCTCGCAGTTGTGGAGATGCCAACTCAACACTAGAAGGAGAGGAACCAGTCATATTGAGCCTCAAAGACAGTCACAAGAGAGCAGACATGAAACGAGACATCGAGCCACAGAGACAACACACAAGATACCTGGATCCATGGTTAACAGAGACACATTAAGAACACTATAGAGATGTTGGAGTCGATGATCAAGCCGTTAGTACCAAACAGCACTAGAAGCCAGGTGGCAGTTACCGACACTAGAACCAAAGTAACTAGAGTCGAAGAACACAACGCGAACCTACAAGTATGTAACCATAGAGAGAACACAGCGCCTTTCAGAGTATTATTGACGTTATTCTGTGACACTGTTGAAGTATCACAATAAAGACAGTACAGACACGAACAGCTGTTTCCAGACATTTCATTATACAAGCATCAGAGTCATGTAAGAAGCATGCAGATAGTAAGACATCATCATCATCATCGCCACTATCGACATGACCATCTTTCTCCTCGTTTATGATCTTCCAATCGACTCCTCCTGTAGCAAACCTAAAGACAAACCTGGGTGTGATATCAACATACGCAACAAAGAAGAGAGCTGTGCTTCAAAAGGTAAATGTCCTAACTAAATAACAGTGCCTACACTTACTTATCTGAACATGAGGCATCCTTGGCTTTCTGCCCCTCAGCTGTGACTGTGATGTTACCTGCAGACAGATCAAACACTATAGTGAACTAAAGAGTTTGATCCCAATCCTCCCATCACCACTGTTCTGTGTGTTAAAGCTAAATCAAACACTAAACTGAACCAATGAGTTTGCTATCTTCACATCATCATCACCACTGTCTCAGGCATAAATGAATGAATCAAGAATTGACCTCACTGGACTCTAGGCATTTCCTCCATGCATTCTCTGTCCCCATCTTCAGCAGCCAGCAAACAGTACTAGTTACAACCTGATTCAAGTCCACCAATGTTTCCGTCTCAGTGGTGAATATCTTCCAGCCCCCCCCCCCTTCCCCACCACCTGCCGTTGAATTAGTCTTTCAGTGTATGCCCATACATACACAGACACACTTATACATGCTGTCAGAGACTTGCTTACTGCTGTCAGAAACATCTGTCCCTAAAACACAACTAAACCAACACCGCCAGAGCATACACATCAGCCTTTGATGTAGTTTAAGCCTTTAATTTAACAGTCCGGAGGTTGCCTCAGAGATGGCTGGCAACTCTACCCTAAACAAACAAACCCAGTTCTGCAAACCAGCTCGCTAGCACACACACTGATGATTTCCATCTTTCCCCCGTTCTGCAAGCCAGCTCGCTAGCACACACACACATTGATGATTTCCATCTTTCCCCCCTTTCTGCAAGCCAGCTCGCTAGCACACACACACACTGATGATTGGCACCTTTCCATCTTTCCAGGCGATAGTGTTATATTGCGCTATGGTGAGGCATGGGACTCACAGCCCATGGCGATGGCGAATGTGTGACTAGTAAGACTTTCCAGACGATAGTGTTTATTTGCGCTATGGTGAGGCATGGGACTCACAGTCCTTGGCGATGGCGAGTGTGTGACTAGTAAGACTTTCCAGACGATAGTGTTTATTTGCGCTTTGGTGAGGCATGGGACTCACAGTCCATGGCGATAGCGAGCGTGTGACTAGCAAGACCCGCCTGTGTCAAGAAAAGTCTTCCACAATGATATAATTCGATTTCAGGACCACTGTTGACAACATTTGTGTTTAATCAGTTTCTTTTCAGACACTCAGCTCTCATCCTTTCTGCAATCATTACTTCCTTCACTCTCATTCCCTTCCTGATATGCCCTTTCCAGACAACAAGGTCCATGGCATTTTGTTTCCATGAGTCCACCTCAATACCTATCATTCATGTCATGCTTGCACACATCTTTATACCATAGTAAAGGTCAGCCTCGACATCTTCTACCTGTCTTTAATTCACCATAAAGGATGTCCTTAGGGACTTTGCTATCCTCCATTCTCCAGGTGTGACCCAGACAGACACTTGAGCCTTCGTAGACTAAGCATTGAGAAGACTGTTGTAGTACTGTAATGCCAAGTATTTTTCTTAGGCATCGCATGTGAAAGCTATTTAGGTGCGAATAAGTTGACCAAGTTTCACTGCCATAAAGCAGAGTGCTGAGAACACAAGCCTGATAGACAAGAGTTTTTATTTTAATTGTGAGCTTTCTGTTCTCCCTAACTCTGTTTGTTAATCTGCTCACTGCTGTTGCTGTCTTACCTATCCTGATGTTTATTTCTTGGTCCAGCAATAGTTTGTTATTAACTGTGGAACCCAGATAGGTAAAATGACGGTCTACCGTCTCCAGCTCTTCGCCGTCAGAGTAGAATGTAGGTCATTCATTACCACATTGCACACACAGAATACAGAATAACTAACAACAATAGACTATCTCTTTCTAGCACAGACTAACATTTAAATTAAACTACCGTTAATCTAACACGTTATCACAAATTACCCATCGATAACTTAAGAGTCAAATATGGAAATACCTAACAGTCAAAATACAACTTGTCTCCGTCCAAGTCCTACAGACCAACTCCCCCAAAACTGTTTCCTGGTCACTTTTGTCCAGTCCCCAACTCACTGCCCGGTCCGTTAGAACCTTGTCGACCTGGGAAAACTGTTTCCTGGTCACTTTTGTCCAGTCCCCAACTTACTCCCTGGTCCGTCAGAACCTTGTCGACCTGGGAAAACTGTTTCCTGGTCACTTTTGTCCAGTCCCCAACTCACTGCCCGGTCCGTCAGAACCTTGTCGACCCGGGAAAACTGTTTCCTGGACACTTTTGTTTAGTCCCCCAACTCACTG